GTCCGGATCCTGAGCTTGTGCTGGAGTCCGCACTGTCCCCTCACCCTCTGCTGGACCCCAGTGCCATCTCCTGCTGTGTGGGACTTATCATGGCCTATCTTCAATCATAATTGTTTATCTGTTAACGATGGCAGTAAAGGGTGGTGCTTTAAATTCATTGCTGCATGTAATCTCATAAGCACCTGCTGGTGTCAATGCCATGGTTGCCCTGAGTTAGCCGAGGCTCAGACACCTCTGTCATTTGTGGTGACAAGCAGCCCCACTGGTACACTGCTCTACACCTTTCTGTTGTGTTATGTTCTTCATAGCAGGAGTCACTCAGAAATGGTCTTGCTTCTGTTTATTATTTGTTTATTATATCCCGCACCCCACCCCACTAAAATGTCAGCCCCATGAAAGCAGGACCTTGTCTGCCTCGTGTATTGCTTGGGGCCCAGAACAGGGTTTGAAATACAGAAGGGACTCTGTTGATGTTTGTTGACTGACTGAATGAAGTATTTGTTGAATGAATGAACCAGGACTCCTTCTCCCTGTTTTCTCTTCTTTTGCTGGCGCGCTCTCCCTGCAGTACTTGAGGGATGTTCTGGAGACAGAATCATGCCTCTCCCACCTCTCCTGGGCACTCTTGAGTCAGGTATCGAGTGGCACCAGGGATGGGAGGGGAGTGCCCCCTGCCCTCGGGGACCTCATCATTCTGCACAGCATTTTCAAACTGCAGGTCACAGGCAAAATGAGTTTTGCGCAATGCAATCATCAAAAATAAAAATAAATAGGATAGGACAGGTTAGAAAGTGTGAGAATACATCACACACAGTAAAGCTAAACATTTGTGTGTGTGTGTGTGTATGTGTGTATGAACCACACACATATTCATTTCTCTGTGCAGCTGGTGAGCCCATGTAAAATGTATTGTTTACTTTGAATCGTGGTAAAAAAAATTTGAACCTAGTGTGTGAATCTGAGATGTGGGAGATTGCATCTGTGGTCCTGGAAGGTACGACCAATTGAATGAATAATCCTGCATTTAATTGTGATGTCAACTATGGAACATACATTCTGTACCATGCAGAGGTGCTCAGGTCCAAGACCGCTGCACAGAGGTGATGCAGAAGGAGCCCAAGAGTAGACAGAGATCTTGTGAGCCAGGAAGACTGCCCGGAGGAGGTGAAACCCTGAACTCAGCTTCAAAGAACCCCTCTGCCCTGGCAGGTCCGTGTGTGAACTCAGGTGGCAACGATAGTAACAATAACCAGGGCTGCTGCGTCCGTGAGCTCTGGCAGAGTGCCAGGCACCCTTTAATCCTCCAGACATTCCCGGGAGGCAGAACCGCTCTTCATATAATTTTACAAATGAGAAAAATGAGACCTGGAGAAACTAGATGACTTTTAGGGGAGGGGGTTACACGGTGGTAAAGTTGCGGAGGTGAGGTCCGGGGCAGGTTCAGCCTGTCCGAGGCCAGCGTCTGTAAGCCCTGGACCGCGAATGGAAGGGGCCTGGATCCCGGAGACTGGGCAGTGGGACCGGCAGGGTGGACAGTCGCAGCAGGACCCGGGCAGCCAGGGAAGACTGAGAAGGGTCTGGGTTGGGACTTGGGCAGTAGGCACACAAGCCTGGGGCTTGGAGACCATCTGCCTCGGGGGAGGGCTGCGGGCTCCACGGCACCCACCCCGGAGGGCCTACCTGAGCTCCGGTTCTTGGCAGGGACGTGGCCACGGGCATCCCTCCAGCCCAGTGCCCCAGCCGGAGGGCAGGCTTGGTGGGGAACGAGGAGGAGGAAAGAGCGGCGGGCTTGCTTCTCATCTTTGTCAAGTCTCACCTTCCGGGTTCGAACCCAGCTCCTCTGCCTTCCAGTGAGGCGTTTGTGCCTGTCCAGAAATAATTCTGGGCTTGAGCATCGCCACAAAGGAATAGTGGGTTCCCACAGCTTATTTTTCTGTGCAGGAACTAAATTTGGGAGTTCTTCCCCAAGAGCACCAGCACCTTGCTTACTTGGGCGGAGGGGGCTGTGGGCGGCTACAAGCAGTCCTTCCGGAAGTGTGGGAAACGGGGTTATGCTCTGTTCTGCGCCCCGGCAGCCTGGGTTCGGGCTGCAGCGGGTTGGTCTGTGTGTGCTGCACATCCGTACCCACGCGTGCTCCTTCGTATGTCCACACGGATGCCTATTGGACGCTTGCACAAACATGTACTCCCTTATGCACATCTTTGCACGTGTGAGTTCCCACATGAGCAACACAAACACGTATGTGTGCATACACAAGCCTACATTTGTCCATGGGGCTCTGGCATTCTTTAGACAATAGGATGGTATCTCAGGTGCTTGTGCGTGTGGAATGTGGGGCGGTGGTTGAGCTGGTAGGGTGCTGGCTGAGTGGGTGGCGGTCCTGTTTTGGGACCATCAGTCATTTCTCAGGGACTTTTGGATGTTTGCCCTGAGCTTCTGAGCCTTTTTGGGAGCTTCTGTGATGATTTGGGCAGATACAGTTGGCCCAGCTTATTCCTCTCTCTCCCTGGGGCTGGGGAGAGAGCCTTCTCTTGGGTATACCTAGGGCTGCCCAGGGCTGCCCTGTGTCCCTTCTTTCTTCTCTCCCTCAGGATTCAGCTTCCTCCCCTCCCCACGCTCACAGTGGGGCAAATCTCGCCCTGAAGTCTTTCTTGTTGTCGGGGGCAGCCCTGGCCTCTTGGCCAGCAGGCAGCCAGCGACACAGGGCTCGCTGCTCTGAGCAGGACTTGGCAGAGCTTCAGGGGCGGGGGATGGGCTGATGAGCTGCACACTGTTGTCTGGATGCAGTCTGTCTGTGGGCTTGTCCCGGAGACGTTTCCAAGACACCAGCCCTCTACTTCTTTCTTTCAGATTCCAAAGAAGAGTTTTACTGAAAACAAGGTGGAGGGTTAGGAGGGAGGGAGGACAAGCTAATGAAGAGCCGCTGAACCGCTGCTGGGGTCTGGTTCTGCACACGGGCACAGAGTAGATTGCTTGGCTTTCCAGGTTCCCACCGTGGCCCAGCCCTCTGATTCTGGGGTCTACAAGCTGAACTCCAAGTTGTCTGTTGGAGCCAGTAGAGCTGTGATTGTTGAGTCTCCTGGGGACATCTCTGCCCTGGGCTTTTCTGCTTAATTCAGCCAAAATGCCAGTTGTGAGGTGGACACAAATGAATGGACAATGATGTGGTAGGCACTGCACAGGGGACCAGAGGTGGAACTTTGTCTTCCAGGAGCTCCATCTAGAGAGATAGCCAGCCATGTACTCCAGCATCTGCCGGAGAGTGAGGGAAGGGGAGTAGTGTGTGTGTGTGTGTGTGTGTGTGTGTGTGTGTGCACGCGCATGCTAGTACTATGCACACCCTCCCGTAGTCCTGGCTGCAACGCAGGACTGGTCTGGAATGTAGCATCCTCAGGGTGGCTGGCCATCGCTGGAGAGTCTGGGTTGCAGGGGTGGGTTATGGGGTGGTGGAGGGAGGAGCAAGGGAATGGTGTCCAAGGATGGGGCCCACGATGTGGCACAAGCCATGCCAGGGTGTCACATGCCTTTACTTCCTGGCTCCTCAACACCTCTTTGAAGGGGAACAGGCCATCTTTTGGATGAGAAACTTGGGGATTAAAGAGCTTGTGTCACTTTTCCCAGGCCACGCAGCCAGTAAATCATGAGCCAGAGTCGGGCTGACAGGCTGGTTCTGAACGTCAGATCTGCTTCTCTGGACTTTCTCTGCTCTTCTCCTCCTGGCACTTTGGGTCGAGCAGGATAAACCTGGAGGCGAGGACAAGTTTCTCACCCCCTGAGTTTCCTCATCCACCAAAACGGGGACACTAAAAGTACTTACAAAATCGTCCAGGGGAAGCACTTGAGACCCAGGTGCCAGAGGGTTGGTAAGCACCACAAATGACAGCCATTTATCTTGCCTGTTTATTCCGAGGACTCCCAGGGGCTTTCGGGACCTCAGTGTCCCTCTCCCAGCACAGCGCTTTCTGGCTTGACTTCGGACAGAGGTCAGGCCTGAACTGCCTTCATTGAGGGAGATCTGGGATCCATTCACTCCCGCTCCAGCCCTGATTGAGGGGGAAGCAGGTGGTGACAGGTGGGGAATGAGGATTTCCCTCGCGAATGTGGAGCAGAAAGAGGAAGTGACTCACCAGCCACAACAAAGCCCATCTCCCGGAAAGGAAGCCGCGGTAGAGAGGGAGCGCTCATGGATGCCCACAGGGGCGTGCAAGCCAAGGGCGAGCTTGGGCTTCTGGGCGTTGGGTAGGCCTGGCTGGGCTGCTGCGCAGGGGCGGGAGGCGGCGGCAGGCTCCCTTAAGCAGCTGGTATTGTGCGTGTCACCGATGGTAGCCGAGGGGTACAGACACAGGGACCCCCTTCCCTTCCAAAGTGTCTTGTCCCTCTTCGACTCCGGAGGCAAAGGGGCGCGTTTCCCTGGGTGCTCAGGGCTTGTGAGAAACCCACTATTGAGCGGACAGTCTGCTGTTTAAGGGCTCCCTCATTGACACTTGGGGAGGCCGAGGCCCAGAGAAGGCAATCGCCCAGATCAGGTTGCACAGCACAGTACGGCCCGCTTGGCGTTAAAAGGCAGAGAGAGGCAACGGAGGCCCAGGTTCGCTGATCTCCCGGGGAGCTGGTGTCTGGGAGGGGGTGTGGCGCCGGCAGCGTTTGCTTCTTCCTCCAGCCAGGAAGGCTGCATGTAGGGTTTGGGTATCTTCCAGAACGAACCAAATTGATGACAAGGGAAGAGGAACTGGCTTCCCAGGCAGTCTCCCCCGCCCCAAACTTTTCCTCCCGAAGCTGGGTGGGCGGACGAAAGGAGGAAGCGGGGCTGGGGAAGGTGGGGCTAGACCTTCCCTCCTGGCCCCGGAGCCGCGGCTTTGGACGCCTAACCGGACGCGGCTTGGGTGAGTGTGTCTTTAAATCCGAGCCCCCCGCCCCCTCGTCGGCTGGGGCCGGGGCTCGGCTGGTCGGGCGTTGGCGGGAGCGGTGATTGGCGGCCCAGCCAGGCCCGCCCCTCGTCGCTGGGGGCGCAGGGCGCCGGGACCACAGAAGCGCGCTGGGTTGAGCCGCACAGCTCCCACCGTCGCCGAACGCGGGCTTCTCGATCTGGTGACCTCGCCTCCCAGCGCTCGGCCTGCCCGCCTCCTGAGTCACCTCTGCCCACGGATGGGCTGGGGAAGTTGGGAGGAGCGAGCCGGAGCCCGCGCCGGGCTCGCCCCGCCGCTGCCTGATTCGGCGCCCGCAGTCCCGGCGCAGAGTGCCTACCGCAGGCTGGCAGGTACCGGTGCTGGCGAGGGTAGGGCAGGTCCGGGAGTCTTCTGCTTCCCCACTCCTCCCGGCTGCTCTGGCTACCCGCTCCCCACCCCCGGAGCTAACGCCTCCCTGGGATCCCGGTAGAGGAGAGGTTCCGGGGCCCCCACCCGAAATCGCACGGGGTTGGTGCCTGGGAGAGAAGCGGGACATCACGTGCTAAACATTGAGCAGATATTGGGACGTCTTGTTTGTCTCGCTCTGGGCTACCCCCTCTCCCGAGGTTTTCCTTAATCTCGGCAGATGTGGCTGGCAACACCTCCACTCTTCATGGCCAGGGCTGCGGGTGGCCCTTTAGCCGGGCTTCCTAGGGGAAGCGAAGCTGTTCCACGATCCACACTTGGGGTCCCCTGCGCTCATATTTAGGGGGCTTGAGGCCTATGGGAATGGAAGAGCCCGGAGGTACCGGCGGGCACAAGCTTTGATTCTGGCCCACGTAGGCCTGGGTCTCCCAGGAGAGCCTCCTTTACCTCTAAAGAGGTTTTTCCTGAAGAGGCAGTGGTCTGTCAGAAAGCAGAGTTTTGCTTGTGGGAGACCTGCTGCGTCCCACGCACAGTGGCGGGGATGGCTGGAATGTGCTCCTCTCTCATGCAGAGTCAGACATGGGAGGAGGCTTCCTGGTTTCATCAGGCTTCTGGGATTCTTTACTCTCCCAACCAAAGGCCCAACTACTAACTATTAACTCCTTGGCTTTTGTGCAGAGCAACCAGAACCAGTGACCAGGTGCCACGCAAATGCTGGGCACTGGGCTCTGCCTGGGAGGGTGGCAGTAGTGGCAGGAGTTGAAGGGCTCTGTCCTCTGGTGGCCCAGCTCCATGGGTACGACAGGACATAGACACACAAAGTTTGCTGATTTTGGGTTTCTGTACCAGTTCTGGTCTAGTAATAATAGTGGAAATGCCAAGAGGCTGCACATGATTAGTTGCTAAATGAACGACACAAGCTGTGTTGCAGGCGCGGGGTGGGGGGGGAGCGGTGCAGAGGTGGGGCTGGGGTCCAGTTTTCATGCAGTCATGCAACCATGCCTAAGATGTTCCAGCTCCATACCCCTGCTTTCTAATTATGCTGCTAGTAACGAGGACCTTGCCCCACCCCCAGGGACAGGGAGCAGCAGGAGGGCTCAGGAAATTCTTCATGTATGTGCCCCCAGCTCCGCTCCACTTGTGTTTTCCTGCTGGTAGATTTCCGAAGAAACCCATTTGGTTTCTGGGGTCAGGCTGAGCACTGGAGTCTCCCAGCTGCCTTGGGGCCTCTGAGGTTTGGGGTCTAGATCCAGCCTTATTGGGGGTTCAGAGGCCAGCAGGGAGGAAGTCCTCACTTCCTTTCTGAAGAACCTCTATTGCTGGTGGCTGGGGATGAGGTTGGGAGGCTGGAGGAGGCCCCGAACCAGACAGTTTCCTGTGAATGCAGACAGGCACGCTCCCATCCTCTGGCCATTGGTGGCGGAGTGGGAGCATTGGAGGCGGGTGGGCCTGGCAGGGCGGGCTTGAGGTGGGCGGCACCTGGGGCAGCGCTGACCTCATGTCTGAGGTTTCTCTTGTGTCTGGGCTCTGTCCCTCCCCCAACATCCCTGGCAGATTTCTGCTTTTCTAGAACACTTCACGGAGGTGGCGGTGTGCTCGAACCCGTAGCCTTGGACGCTGCCCTGGGAATAGGAGTTGCTGAGTTCACCCCGCAGCCTGTGGGCAGCTCGGTGAGCACTTGGGTCAACACACCCGTCCACTTGCAAACAGGTGGCACACACGGGGCCGCCCGGTACAGGTGGGGAATGCCATGTGCACAGAGAGGCGCGCTCACTCAGGTTCGTAATGCTGGGCAGAGGCAGAGACACCGTATGGAGACAGACGGAAAGACAGCAGAGGTGGGAGAGGCATTCGTAGGGGCGGACACTGTGAACACGGGGACAGGGTCCGCACTTGGTCACAGACACTGTGTAGACAGGTCTACACCTTCATGGGGACATGCACCTCCCACAGGAGAGGCCGACGTGTAAGTGAGCAGACACATGAGCTCCTGTTGTGGACGGGAGCCGACATTCGAGGGCACAAAACCTGGAGCCATGTGGAAGTGGCAGACACGGACTTGGCTGCAGGCTCCCTGGGGACACAGACACACGCACCTGCTGAGCCACCTGGCCAGGGGGCCAGGACACTCTCGAGGCGGGCGCCGAGGCGTGGTCTAAGCTGTGTGTTGCTTAGTCACCTGGTGATGCCGAGTGGCGGCAGTGCCTGGGAGTGGCCCGGTTTGGGGGATAGTGCAGGTGGTCCGAGGTGCGGCTTCTTTTGTAGACCCTGCTCTGGGATTTGAAGACCCCCAAGGGCTCAGTAGTCTCTGTGTTGCCCTGAGAGTCATTTGACCCCCTCACTCCCTGGGAGCAGGGCTGGCTGCAAGCCACGAGCAGGGGCTCCCTGGACCTTTGAGTCTCATCTTCCCTGAGTCTCTAGAAGTTTCCTGAAGTGGGGCTGTGTGTCCTGGGTAGGGGGGCCATCTGGCGGGGGACTCTCCTTCTGAGCCCAAGCCTGAGGCTGTCTGGCAGGGAAGGACCCATCCCTGGGACAGAGAGAGTGGCCTTGCTGTGGGGTCTTTGATGAAGCCATTGTTCTCTGGTGTGGACTGCCTTCTCTGTAAACCTGAACTTGGGCCCCCCCGAAGGGGCCCCCTGCCTTTGGCTACAGTTGCTTCTCTCTTCTGCTGGCCCTGGAGACTGGGAGCCAGAGTCTAGATGCAGCTTGACATTAACTCACTGTGTGACCCTGGAGAAGTTACTTAATGCCTTACCTCACCCACTTAAAATGAAACTCCTCATTTAAAAAGTGGGGCCATTAACCCCTGTCCCTTGGGGGTGTTGTGAGGGTTAAATGCTGGAAAACCCATGGAAAATGTGTGGTCTGGCCCTGCCACAGACTGAGTGCTCCGTCGATGGGCTTTGGTCAATGGGCTTTGATCGTGAGCCTGTGGCCAGGACCCTCTGGAGCTGCTCCAGCAGCCAGGTGCCTGGCCCTGGGGAAGCTGGGCACGCAGGCAACTCTTGTTTGGAAGCTGGAGGGCTTTGTCCTCACCCTGGCCCACCGGCCGCTTCTCAGTTCTGTGGGACCGCCACACAGGGTCAGGAAATGGCAGGCAGGGCATCTGGAGGCTTGGGCCTGCTGCCTTGTGGGCCTCTGGGAGGGGAGCCAGTGGTTTGCTAAGAATAGCCCCAAGTCATGGCTCTGTCTCCCAGTGGGCAGCCGTGCACCTCCCTGGTCCGGGGCCAGGGAGCTTGCAGATGGGCCTTTTATGTTTCCTGAAACTGGCACTCGGAATGGGGACGGGCCTGGGAGGAGGAGGCTGGCTCTGGGGGGAAGGAGGCCCTGGCTGCGCTTCCTAGGTCTTCGGCTGGGACCCCAGGAAAGAGAAGTTTCTTCTTCCACTCAGAGCTTGTCCTGACAACTGCCCCCTGATCATCTTCCTGCCTCCACGATGGATCTGGAGCCACCCCACTAGGGGCCAAATTTCTGCTCTTTCACTAGCTGTGTGCCCCTGGGCAACTCACTTACCCTCTCTGGGCCTGATTCCCTTATGTAATGAGGCTAATGACAGTAATTCTCTTACAAGAATGTCTCAAGGATGAAAGGAGGTAGTGTGTGGAGAGCACTCGTTAGAGTGTGGCTGAGTAAATGCTCAGTAAACTTTAGGGGCCTCTGTTATCTCCGTTCTCTCAGCTGAGGGAGAGCGAGCCCTGTGAAGCCAGAGACCAGGGTGCTCGCACAGTGCCTAGTGACCAGAATGCCTTTTGATTTGGGTTCCTGGCCTGGGGTTCAGTAAGAGGTGCAGGGGACCAGAGGCGAGTGACACTGGAGCCCTGCCAGGTGAGAGAGGCAGGTATGTACTTTATACCATCCCCCACTGGTACCTTCCCAGGGTCTGTGCTGGCTGTGAGTGGAGGTAGAGGGCGGGAACGGCTTGTCTGGGGGCAGGGTGTTGCTTCAGGTGGCCTTGGAGGATGGCTAAGAGTTTGCAAGTGTGAGTGAGGGAAGGCTCCCCAAGCAGAAAGAGCAGCCCGTGCAGAGGTGTCGCACAGCTTGGCAACATGGGGGACAGGGACAGGTCCATGGGCCTGGGGAGGGGTCCACCCTCAGCACTCCCGGCCTATTAGGAAAGACCCTGCACGTTGGGATCTTCTGTCCCTGCCACTCTGGGCTCTGAGTCTCCCAGTTAGGACGCAGGCTGGAGGCCCACCAGAATTCCCCCCACTTCCCTTTTAGGACTCACAATTTCTGTTCCCCGATTCTTCAGAAATCCCCTGCCTGCTTACAAATGCTGTTAGCCCTCCCGAGGGCCCCTCATTTTTGAGCTGGGGCCCCAGATCTTACTCCAAGATCAACATGCCTATTTTTGCTCTATTCAAAATACCCATGGGTTAATAAATTCTCCTCTCCCTTTTTTCAATGAATTGAAGCCTTTGAAAACTCCTTGGGCTTTCCTAAGGAGTGAATGTCTAATAGTGGAATTTCTGGGCTTCAGAAATTATTTTATATATTTCCAGTAACTGATATGTGGGCTGGCTTTAGCTCTGAGGGCGTACCCCTGTTCAGGTTGGGGAACTCTACGAGAAAGACATGGGTCATCTGGGGTTACCTACGTGACCACGGCAGGCAGTGGGGAGAATCTGAGAACTGGGTGTGCCCCTGATGACCCCGCAGGCTCCCAGGGAGATAGGGCTTTGGAAATTCCGGGAGGGGGAGGGTGTGGTACCGGGAGGGCTTCGGATCCACCCCTGGGTTTCCCTGCCCTGGCCCATGGAAGCCCAGAAAGCTGGGTCAGTTTGGGGAGGGGAGGAGAGATGAGCGCCCTCAGGTGACCTTGGACAGTGCCCGCCTCTGCAGCCCGCTGAGCCCCGAGCCTGCCTGTCTGCAGGTGTGCGGCCTCTCCCGCCACCCCAGGGTGGAGGACAGGAGTACTGGTGTGTTTTGAAAATTTTGTTTAGAA